TCTACTAAACATGAAATACTTCTCCAGGGACTGATAAACTATCTGAAGTATGAGAGATGAAGTCTGGCAATCCTGGCTTCCAATGAGCAGTTTGACCATGCTACTTCCAACACAGATTGCTTTTTTTTTTGGCAGTCCATGGCACTTTTAATATTCTCATCTTATACCATAACTCAAGTGCACCAATTCTTCTACGATATTCCTTATTCACTGTCTAACTTTCACATATGTATGATGTTATTGAAAATACCATGACTTGGGTCAGGCGCACCTTAGTCCTCAAACTGACATCTTTGTGCTTAAACACTGTAAAGAGGTCTCGTGCTGCTAATTTGCCTAATGTAATATGTCATTTGATTTCTTGACTGCTGCTTCCACAAGTATTGATGGTTGATTTGAGCCAAAAGAAGTCTTTGACAACTTCAAACTTTTTATATCCATTTGTATGGCTATTGTTTATTGGTCAAGTGGTGAAGATTTTTGTTTTATTTACAATGAGCTGCATCTCACACAGAAGGCTGTGTTATGTGATCTTCATCGTTAAGTATTTTAAGTCCTCTTTGCTTTCAGCAACCAAGGTTGTATCATTTGCATATCGTAGGTTTTTAATGTTGTTGTTGTTGTTGTTAAGTGCCGTCGAGTCGGTTCCGACCCATAGCGACCCTGAACAGGGTTTCCGAGGCTGTAAATCTTTACGGGAGCAGAACGCCTCATCTTTCTCCCGCGGAGCCGCTGGTAGTTTCGAACTGCTGGCCTTGAGGTTCGCAGCCCGATTCGTAACCACTACGCTACCAGGTTTTTAATGAGTCTCCCTCAAATCCTTATGTCATATTTTCCTATTTATAATTCAGACTCTCATATTTATTTGTCCAGCAAAGAGATTGAATAGATATGGTGAGATAATACAACCCTGACCACACATTTCCTAATTTTAAATCATTCGATATCATCTTTTTCTATTCGAAAAACTGCCTCAGGGTTTATGTACAGGTTCCTAGTGTGCACAAGTAAGCATTCCAAAATGCTCATCTTCACGGTGTTGTCCATAATTTGATATGATCCACACAGTCAAAAGCACATTTAAACATCTTTCTGGTATTCTCTGCTTTCAGCCAAGATCTGTAGGATGTCAGGAAGGACATCTCTCTTTCCATGTCCTCTTCTGAATCCAGATTAAACCTCTGTATGTTTTCTATCAATGTACCATTGCAATTGTTTTTACATTATCTACAGCAAAATGTTACTTACATGTTATACTGTTGATATTGTCCAATGATTGTGCATTCTGTTGAGTCACCTATGTTTGGCATGGACACAAATGTTGAGCTCTTCCAGTTATTTGGCCAAATAATGGTCTTCCAAATTTCTTGACTTCTATCAGGAATGCCTCCAGTGCTGCATCAGTTTGTTGAAATTTTTCAATTTGTATTCCATCAGTTCCCAATATTTGACTCTTTGTCAATGACTTCAGTGCACCTTGAAATTCTTCCTTCATTATCATTGACTCTTGGTCATATGCTACCTCTTGGTGAACATCAACCATTTCTTTTTGGTATAGTAACCCTGGGTATTCCTTCCATCTTTTTTTGATGCTTTGTATTCCTTTCATTTTCTTTTGATGCTTTCTGTATCATTCAATATTTTGCACATAGAATCTTTAAATATTGCAAGTGGAGACTTGATTTTTTCTTCATTTCCCTCAGCTTGAGAAATGCTGGGTGTGTTCTTTCCTTTGGGTTTTCTAAGTCCAGTTCTTTGCACATTTTGTTATAATACTTGAACTTTTCTTCTTGAGATGCCCTTTCAAATTTTGCATGAAACTCTTTTTCCTCCTCATTTCTTCCATTTGCTTTAGCATCTGTACACTGGAGAGCAAGTTTAAGAGTCTATTTTGACATCCATTATTGTATAGTCTTTCTTTCTTGTCTACTTCATGACCTTTTGCTTCCTTCCTTTATGATGTTCTTGATGTCATCCCACTACTCTTCTGGTCTTTGATCTTTAGTTTCTAACACATCAAATCTGTTCCCCCAGATGATCTCTAAATTCAGGTGGGTAATGCTTAAGGCAATATTTTGGCTTTCTGGACTTGCTTTAATTTTCTTCTGTTTCAGCCTGAACTTGTATATGACCAATTAATGCCTGTTCTACTATCTGCCCCTGACCTTGTTTTGGCCGATGAGATGGAGTTTTTCCACTGCCTCTTTCCACAGATGTAGTCAATTTGATTTCTGTGGATTCCATATATGAGATGCATGTGTATAATCTTTTATGTTATTTTAAAAATGTTTTGCAATGAAGAAGTTATTGGTCTTGCAAAATTGTATCATACATTCTTCAGCATTGTTTCTATGACCAAGGCCATGTTTTCCAACTACCGATCTTTCCTCTTTGTTTACAACCTCTATATTCCAATTGCTAGTAATTATCAACACATTTTAATTACATGTTTTATCAATTTCAGGCTGAAGAAATTGGTAAAATTCTTCAATTTCATCACTGGCTTTAGTGGTTGGTGTGTAAGTTTGAATAGTAGTGGTCTTCCTTGCAGGCATGTGGATATTATCCTATCACTGACAGTGTTTTACTTCAGACAGATCTTGATTTGCTCTTTTATATGATGAGTATAACACCATTCCTCTTCAGTTTGTCATTCCTGGAAAAGTAAACCATGTTATTGTCAGATTCAACATGGCAAGAACAAGTTCATTTCAGTTAATACTAGGATATTGATGTTTATGCATTTCATTTCACTTTTGACACTTTCAAAATTTCCTAGATACATACTTCATACATTCCATGTTCAGATTATTAATGGATATTTCAGCTGCTTATCTTTATTTTGAATTGTGTTCCATAAGTAAATGAAGGTTCTGAAGGCTTTGCTCCATTTGTGTCAACATAGTCAACTCTACTTTGAGGAAGCATGTCTTCATCAGTCATATTTGAAGTGCCTTCCAACCTGAGTGCCTTCCAATCATCTGTCACTATGAGGGTGGTGTTCATGTTCCACTGATTTGGTTCCAATATATTTGACAAATATTCTAATGTTCTTCATTATGTTTCAGTATTCAATATTCTGGCGCTGATAGTGTTCCACTGCTGTTCATAAAGATTTAAGTGACTAAATATTCAGAAGTAGCCCATCTCTCCTCCTTCCTAGTTTGTCTTTGTCTGGAAACTCAGCTGAAACCTATCTACCATGGGTGACCTTGCCGGTATTTAAATACCTGTGGTACAGCTTGCAGAATCACAACAACTTGCAAGCTACCACAATATGACAAACTGACAGATGAGAGGTGATATAGTATGTAGAAAAGAAAAATAATTTGGATGTTAAAACTTCCTGGGATTTGGTGTGAAGTTCAGGGATTGTGTTAATAAAGAAAAATTGATCATGGAAAATACTATTGTTTTAATTTGTTTAAATGCTGAAGACTTGAGATTATGGAGGTAAACTAGTGGTACTATGAAAATGTTAACACTTTATAATTAAATAATAAAGATGAATGGTTTGTTATTGAGGGATTCATGAAAATGCTCATAAATACTTTTTACTGTATATGTTATTTTAATGAAGAATTAGTTATCAGCTCAAGAAAAACAAATAAGAAAATGTTCGATCCAGCTATCTGATTATTCCTATACTCATTATAGATTTGTTGTTTAGTTGTGTTTGTATTATGGTATCTGTATTATTAAAATATAATAATAACATTATAATAAATTTTAATAATACAAATATCATAATACAAATACAACTAAATAAAAAATCTGTAATGACTTATTAAAATAAGAGCTCTGGTAGTGTAGTGTTTATGAGTCGGGCTGCTAGTCTCAAGGTCAGCAGTTCAAAACTACCACATGTTATGTGGGATAAAGATGAGGCTTTCTGCTCCCATAAAGATTTGCAGCCTCGGAAACCATGTATGGGGTCAGTATGAGTCTGAAGCGACTCCACAGCCAACACCACTACCGTTATTAAAATAGAAAACATTTCATCTAAAGCCCAGGTACTTTTTAAAATGATGATTCAAATGCATCGACTTCTCAAATATAGAAATGCGTGCCTGGATAGTGTTCTAAACATGATTCTATTTTATAAGACATATTTGCTGATTATGTTATTGCTTATAATAAATTATATAATTAAATATAATATTCTCTAGGAAACATATTCTTGTATTCAGAAGAGTGCTTTATATTTAATATCAGTCAATGAGGTCTTAACCCCATTTGTTACCTCAATTTAATCTGTGGGACTGAGGATTATCTTTTTCCCAGTTACCTGAGTTAACTAGATTTTCTTCTCAGGCACAACAGCATGTGGGCTCTACAAATGTCAAATCTCATATATAGACTGTTGTTGTTAATTACCTCCAGTTGGTTCCTACTTATAGTGCCCCTGTATAGGGTTTCCATGGAGTGACTGGTGAGTTTGAAATACTAACTTGTGGTTCAAACCAACTTTAAAATCCAGTGCTTTATCCCACAGCACCACACTGTAGATTGGTGGTGGTGGTGTTTCATGGAGTCGGTTCTGACTCATAGCAACCTACATAGGGTTTCCAGGGCTTTAAATGTTTATGGGAGCAGAAAGCCTCATCTTTCTCCTGTGAAACGGCTGGTAGTTTCAAACTGCTGACCTTGAGGTTAGTAGCCTGATTTGTAACCACTAGAGATGTATTTGAAAAAGGATGAAATTCCATTTTAACCTTCAAACTTAAGTCCCTTGATGAATACTATGCAGACAGTATACATTTATTTTTCATGATGACAAGGAAATACTCAATAACTCAGTGAAGTTTTTAAATTTTATTTGCAGAATAAATATTTTCTACTAAAGATGCCTGCTTTTGAGAAAAGATCTTAGGAGAAATCCTAGCCAAATATGGGAGAATTGCTAAAACCATAAAGTGATTACTGAGTATCAAATAGCTCTTATTTCTAATGCATATGATCGCTTTAACCACAAGCTCCATTCCTGTGTCTCCTATTAGCAGTTGCAGCATCCAGCGATGAAAGCCAGATTCCTATAATTGCTGTGTCTGTGACAGTGGGAGTCATTTTGTTGGCAGTGGTTATCGGCTTTCTCCTCAGCGGAAGGTAAGAGAGGAAACTGTGATTCTCATCTTTTGCAGCTGATCTCTTCATTTTCTTGAGTTGGACATTTGGCAAAGCAAATAGTAAAATAAATCAAGCAAGCAGTATGTCAGTGGATCACCTTAATGTATAGATGTGTTTCACAAGTCTTGCCTTGTCCATGTTGTTAGTAATTTTTAAGCATACAATTTTTCTTTTCCAGATATGCTCTCTTCACAGAATAGAATTGACTTGTCACTACTTATTCTGTAATTAATACTCATATGTATTTTGATTTGTTTCCCTCTCAATTGTACGTATGGTAGCTTGCTCAAGATTAGCTACTGCATTGGAAAACCTAGGTAGGCGTCTACTAGATTTATAGGAACAGTACTGATAATTCTATTCTAACAGGACATAAAGCAGACCTTCTGCTAACATGAATTTTGAGAAATAACCAGTCATTTTTTCAAAATTGATTTAATTTTCACCTACTGAATGATTTCACAATGAATGCATCAATGATGGTATATACTTCTTTAAAGTAACCTGTTTATTATTAGGTAAGATATTTTTATATATTTATTAGATATCCATACTTTTTTTCATTTTAAATAAAACTGTAAGAAGTGGAGCCCAATAAAGACTTTCGGTAGAAGTCATTTTCTGATATCAGGCTGAGCATAGTCAACCTACAAAAAGTTTTGTAATTGAACATTTTTCATTTTACATTCAGGCCATTGTTAGAAGGTATGTACTGTATGCTGTAATGAGATATGGCCACTGGGAAAAATTTTAGTATTAGACTATTATTTAAAAAAGAACAGAAAGAAAAACTTGATTTAAATCTTCATGAAAAGATTTAAACCTGCACAAGAAAATGGTAAAATGTACCATAAGACTTGAAAAAACCCAGAAAATCAATATTTGTATTGATTTTCTTACTGTTGTGCACATTTACTTTTGACTTTTCAGCACCTTTGCGACTCATAAATATACAAAACTATGTATTTTTCAATATAGTACACACTGTGTTCTGTAATGATTTATAACCATACCCTTAAATTACCATGATAATAGCTTATTTTCATAAAACAATTTTATTCCATTTGAATATCCTTTCTCTTTATATTTGAAAATTCATTTCTGCTACTTCTTGTTCATATAATAATGTTCAGTGGCTCCTTAAGAATGTAGGTAGTAATCCATGACTTTCTTTAAAATTAGAAAAGCAATTATGCATCTGTGGAACTTCTTATCTTTAAGGCGGTTTATGTTCTGTTGAAGGAAAAAAATCTTAAAGTCCCTCTTCTGCCTACCTATTTTCTTACTGATCTTTATTCTCTGAAGCTACCTGAGGTGGATGCCTACATAGATACCTTCCTAGATAAGCCAATTTCACTAGTATTGTCATAAAATCTCTGCTCAGATTTTGATTGATAAGAGAATTATGGTGATTGAGTTGTTACTAAGAAGAAAACTACAGTGGGATAATGCATCTTTTGCATCCCAAATGGGTAGATAACTATGATGTATTTGCAGAGTTATTTTGTAGTATCATTTATTTATTTTCATTTGACATGTTAATTGACTTCTTCCTTTTAATAAATTCAATAAGCATAATTTATCTTTGGGCACACGAAGATCTTAAGAAAGTGTCTTAATTTGTTGTGTCCACATTTAAAAGAAAAGTATAAAAATGGAGAGATAAGCTAAGCCTAGAAGCCTATAAATTTGCACATGTCAGTGTTTAGGACTCCTGGTGTAGTGCTGTAGGATCAGCACTGGACTGTGAACCACAGGTCGGCAGTTCACACCTACCAGCTGCTCCACAGAAAACCATACAGAATCATCATGAGTCAGGACCTACTCAATGGCACTTAACAACAACAACTGTGTTTAGAAAAAAGTACATTTGAAATATAAGAAGTATTTTATTATATCCATGGTGGTAGTGGTTGTTATGTGTCATGGAGTCAGTTCTGACTCATAGCAACCCTGTACAGTGTTTCGGAGGCTGTAAATCTTTATGGGAGCAGAAAGCCTCATCTTTTTCCAGAGGAACAGCTGGTAGTTTCTAATGGCTGACATTGAGTTTAGCAGTCCTTAGAGCTCCTTTATTATATGCATAAGATGCAGTATTTATTTAAGTGAAGTATTATTAGTATAGGAGCACTGGTGTGGCACAGTAGGTTCAGCACTACACTGCAAACTGCAAGGTCAGTGGTTCAAACCCAGCAGCCACTTCTTGGAAACCCTAAACAGGGTCACTGTAAAAATGAATTTTTTGGTAATACTTAAATAAGGATTGTTCTACTTATATGTTTATAAGCCCCTGTTCTCTAGAAATGTCAATTCTAAATATATACATATAATTGGATTTTAAATAATCATATCTATAACATTAACACTAGACAGAAGTTTGAAACAAGTTATACCTATTATTTAGCAATCACACACACACACTGTGAATTCCATATTAGCTGATTATACTGTCTAAAAACTATCTAAATTTTATTATAATTTATCAATCATAGTGAAAGAATATCTATACCTAAGAGATAAAACTTAATTTTCCACATAACTACATTCATGAATTAGGAATTCTGGTGTGGTGCTGTGGGCTAATGCATCACACTGCAGTCATTTGAACTCCAAGGTCAGTGCTTTAAGCTCACCAGCTGCTCCTTGAAAACCCTATACAGGGTCGCTATGGGTTGGAATCAACTTGACAGCACCTAACAACAACAACAAATTCATGAGTTGGAGTCCTGGTGTGACACTACAGAATAAATGCAGGATGACTAATTGCAAGGTTGGTAGTTCAAACCCACCAACTACTTCTGAGAAACCCTATACAGGGTCACTATGTGTCATAACCTGATAGAATGCACTTAACAACAACTACATTCATGGATTGATAAGATCATTTTTTCTGTATAGTTTTATGCATGTGCATTACATTGAAAAATAGCAACACCTTTTAAATTAGTGAATTGTTTATTCATATTAAAATGTTTTATAAGACAATTTAGTATTACAACTGAGCCAAGAATGCGGAGCCTATGGATTTGCACTTAACAGTATAACAAATTTCATTAAGAAGCTATCTGGGCACTATATATTTCATCAATGATTTTTGCATTAAATTTTGATTATTTTGTTTAATTACAAAAGGCATTTGATTTAGGATTTAAAAGCTATTTACTCTCCATGGACAAGTCATTTTATGTTTGTGTTATATAAATATATTTATCTAAATGCTAAATGAAAGACTTTTCCTGATTTTCTCAAGGCAATGAATTTATTATTTTTTTTATGAACTAGTAAAATTTTACTTACCTTGTAGTATCTTCTGAATTAACAAAATAAACAATTGTCAATAAAAAGATAAACAAAATAAAGAAATATTGGTAAATTATGGTTTAGTACCTGAAAGTAACCTGCTTTAGGAAAGTCTGAGGCGATTATATAATATTATCCATTCTTCTCTGTATCAACATATGACTAATAAACACACAAAATAATATGATGATTCACAGATTACCCAACCACTTTGAACTTACTTTTTTTTGTGAATTTTGTTCCTTTGATCATATACTGTATAACAGATATTTATATTTGGACAATATATATCTAAAGGGAAAAAATTGATAAAACAGTGGTGATATAGAAATATTTTTATATATTCCAAATATATCAATGTTGTATATATGTAATATTCACATAAAATATATGCTTTTATTAAAAACCTAGAAAACATGATCACAAATTATAACACAATGAATACTATGAGGACCAGCTATAGGATTTGAACAGTACCAGCTGTCTTAGCTATTTAGTGCTGCTATAAGAGAAATATCACCATGGATGACTTTACCAAACAGAAATTAATTTTCTCCCAGTTTTGAAGTCTAAAAGTTTAAATGCAGATCTCTAGCCCTGTAAAAATCTCCTTTGTTTTGTTTCTGCATCTGGAGGCCCAGCATTCCTTGGAGATCTTCGTGTCTCTTGGCATGAATTTTTCCCTGGATCTAGGAAATTCACAGTGAGGGGCACAAGTTTAAATGGTACATGTCACTCCAGGCTCTTCTTTCTTGATCACTTCTCTGTTCACATTTCTTTCCTTTGAGCTCTAGTAAGACAAAAAGGACTCCTTTTGTGGTGCCAGAGGATCAGCCCTGGATTTTAAACCACAAGATCATAAATTCCAACTCACCAGCTGCTCCTGGGAAATCCTACATACAGGGTCGCTGTGGAGATGTAGTAAAAGCACTCAATTTCAAGATTAGTTTGAACTGCAAGGTTGGTCGTTCAAACTCATCAGCTGCTCCTCAGACACCCTATACAGTGTCACTATCAGTCAGAGACAACTCTACGTCACTTAACAGTTACAACAATGAGTTAGAAACAATAGCTCTGACAGTGCATAACAGCAACAAATTATAAGGAGTTGCATGCCACACCACCAGGGAGCATAGGTCATGGTCTTGATGAGATTAAAGATGATGTCTCTCACTCTGAATCCTCTTATTGACTTGTCACATCAAATCACAGAAGGGGGATCACTACATTACTGCCCAGCCAAACTGACACAGATTTTGTTGTTGTTGTTAGACACCATTAAGTCAATTTCAACTCATTGTGATCCTGTGCACAACAAAACAAAACATGATTCTATCCTATGCCACCCTCACAATTGTTATGCTTGAGCCTGTTACTGCTGCCAACACATTCTGGTTGAGATCTTTCTATTTTTCACTGACCCTCCACTTTATCAATCATGATGTCCTTTTGCAATTAATGGTATCTCCTGGTTACATGTCTGAAGTATGATACACGAAGTCTCACCATCCTGGCTTCTAAGGAACATTCTGGTTGTACTTCTTCCAACATGGATTTGTTTGTACTTCTGATAAGGCATAATAACTTTTAATGTCCTTCTCCAATGGTGTAACTCAATGTATCAATTATCCTGACTTATTGTCCAACTTTCACATGCATATGAGGCTATTGAAATTACC